CTCAGTGGACATACAAAGCTGTCTCTCTCTCTTCGAAGTCAAATTCCGATGGTGGAATTCAGGCGGACTCTTTCCTGAGGCGGCAGCTCTCCCTGCTGTCATACTTTGAGCACCCGCCACATGCGAGGCTCACCTTCCCGCCACTCCAGACAGTGTCCAGTTGCCCGTGTGTCCAGGAGCAGATCGCCAGGTCCTTCTCCCGAGTCTTATCTGGAAGTGCCCCTGGACCTGCCCGCTGACTCCGTCTACCGCCGAAGCAACAGGAGCTGAAACCTCTCTGGGGCTCAGCTCTCCTCAGACGCGCTAGGAAAGCCGTCTGTGTCGGGGCTCATGCACAGGACAGATGGGAAACGGAGGCCGGACTCACTGCACAGGGTGCACTGCACAAGGCTGTCTAGGGTTGCCACATTCCTTCAGCGTCCAGCTAATGGCGTTCCGGCCTCGCCGTGGCCCCGCCCCCGCCACGGCCCCGCCCACCGTCCCACTAGGGTCCCGCCCACCACCCCACCGCAGGCCTCGCCCATTGGGCTGTACACAAGCCACGCCCACGCCCGACCCGCCTCCGGCCAGGACCGAGACCCCGCCCACCTCCCGCAGTACAGCCCAGCGAGCACCGAGCGAGTTCCCAGCTCGCCGGAGGAGCTGGGCCGCCCGCACGCAGCAGCACCATGAGCGCCCCAGCAGCCGCCCCCATCTTCGCCCCCGGCGAGAACTGCAGCCCCGCATGGGGGGCTGCGCCCGCGTCCTACGACGCGGCGGACACGCACCTGCAGATCCTTGGCAAGCCGGTGATGGAGCGGTGGGAGACGCCGTACATGCACGCTCTGGCGGCAGCTGCCACTTCCAGAGGTAACCTGGGTAAACTGAGGCTGACGTCGCCCGCCTGAAAAGTGGGCTGCAAGCAGGGCTGGGAATGGCAGGCAGCGGGAACTTCCCTCCAGGCGGGGGTGGGTCTGCAGAGGCAGGGACCCCGCTGGGTGAGCCAAGCTGGGCACGTGATGGGACTCCGCGCACCCTCCCGCCCCACACACACAGTCCGGCCCCCCCTCTGCCTGCCAAAAATAGCTGGGAAAAGTTGAGCGCTGGAGACAACTGCCTGTTGTCTGCGGCTCTGAGGGGTGCCCAAGGGGGGTGTGGAGGGGGTGTGTGTGTCGGGGTCAGGGGCCCGGCGGGAGGCGGTGGAGCGGCGGGGGCGGGAGGGAATGTCTCTGGGCATTGGGCCTAAGAGTCTCCACCAGACAGAGGTGGCAATGGATAGGGGACTGCTTCGTTCTGTGGTCCCGTGGGGGCCCCACCCCAGATTGTTCCTGGCTGTGGGGCTTGAAACTGCCCTGGCCTTGTCCAGGGAGAAAAGTAACCAAACGAGATAAGTCCTGCTCAGGCAGCGTGGGCTACGCTCAAAGTTCAAGGGCCTGGCCTCCCTGTTCAGCTGGGCCCTAGAACAGGCCACTCGGCTCCCTATCCAGCTGCTGGCCCCTGGCCAAGGCCCACAGTGCCCTTTCTGGTAAGTCTGCCTTCCAGCTGCTGGCCTCTGCCATGCGCTGTCCCATGTGGCCAGGAGAGTTTTCACTGCCAGGCTTCCTGGGCCCCACCCCAGTACAGCCTGTCGCTTCATGCCCTGTGTGTCCTCAGGCGGCCGCATCCTGGAGGTGGGCTTCGGCATGGCCATCGCGGCCTCCAAGGTGCAGGAGGCACCCATCGACGAGCACTGGATCATTGAGTGTAATGACGGTGTTTTCCAGCGGCTGCAGGACTGGGCCCGGGAGCAGCCCCACCAGGTGCCTCTGCCTGCAGGCCCCACCCCGCCTCACCCCCTCCTTTGGGCAGAGGTTTGCCTGCAGCCTTGCAGGAGGTGCCCTTGTCCCTTGGAAGTTCCTTCACAGGCTCTTGCTGAGAGCAGAGACCCAGGGGCCACTCTGACCCCTGGTCTTCTTTCTCCTCCACCCCAAGGTTGTCCCTTTGAAAGGCCTGTGGGAGGAGGTCGCGCCCACTCTGCCAGATGGACACTTTGATGGTAAGGGCCCTGGGGACTGGCAGGGACACTCAGCACGAGGCTCACGTGCCCCCTTGGGGGTACCTCTGCGGGTCTCCTCTGGTGGCCCCTACCCCTTTGTTGTGGCAGAAGCCCCTCCCTCTGGGGTGGCCCTGGTCTGACAGAGTCCAGGGAAGCTAGTCAGGGCATGTGGGGCACAGGGTAACACCCAGGTGCTGGTGGGCACAGTGCTTTGGAGGCGGAAGACCACCCAGCCCGAGGGCCCCTCCTGAGGAGGGGCTGCGGTTCTGCCTCCAGGCCCACCATCTGATGCCTAACCTACTGTGCCACCAGGGACCACTAAGCCCCACGGTCATAATCAGTCCTGACTTCCGAAGGGCCTGTGTAAGCCTTCTGAGCCTAGACATCGAAAGGCCAGCCTCCCTCATCCTACCTCGCAGTGGTTCCTGGGATGGATTGCATGCGGGCCTCGGGGTTAGCAAGCAGCCTGCCCTGGGCAGTCCAGGAGAAGGCAGCACAGAGGTCCAGAGTTAACATCTACCTTCCTCCCCAGCAGTTGTGTCTGCTTTTCACAGGGATCCTATATGATACGTACCCACTGTCTGAGGACACCTGGCACACGCACCAGTTCAACTTCATCAAGGTGGAGCCAATAGGGTGGCTGGAGCCCCACACACACACCCAGGGCTGGGTGCTGGGGGGCCACCGGGGGGGTGGGGGTGGAAGTAAAGCCCGTTTCCTCCTCCAGGGCCATGCTTTCCGCCTGCTGAAGCCTGGCGGTGTGCTCACCTACTGCAACCTCACGTCCTGGGGGGAGCTGATGAAGGGGGCTTACTCAGACATCACCGCCATGTTCGAGGTACAGGCCCTCCCCTAGCTGCCAGCACGCAGGGGGCCACACAGGGGGCACTCGACACCAGGCCAGAAGTCTGGGTGTTGGCGTGGGCATGCCCCGGGTTTCTTCAGTCTCTCCCAGCCTGTGTGGCCCAGGCGACCCTGGACTGTGGCTGGGTCCCTTGTCTGTCCTCCTGTGGTAGTGGGTGCCTCTGTCTATCCACACTGCCCTTATTTCACGAGGATGCCTGCTACTGACTTTAGTACGGTCTGACCGGTCCACTAACCAGGGCCATATACCAGCCCCACTCCGAGGTGCTGGTACAGGACACTGGCCAGCCTGGTACAGGTGGCAGCTCTCCTGGGATCCACTCAGGAATCTAGCCAGAGCCCTCCCTAGCTCAAGGACCTTCTATGTCTTCCCAGTGCCCTGGATACAGCCACACCGCCCTGCCCTCTATTTCTGCCGTTGCTGTGGGTTTAGCTCTGGGTCCCAGGGCCAGAGGTGGAGGCCAGCCAAGTTCCTAGGAGAACCCTGGGGCCCAGGGCACGAGGGTGGGGAAACTGGAAGGACCCCCTCCCCAAGGGTGGGCACTTGTAGGCCCTGTTTAAGGAGGGGCGGGCAGGGTTCGGGGACAGGGCCCCATGTCCACCTGGCACCTTCACCCTATGCCTGGCCAGGAGACACAGGTGCCGTCGCTGCTGGAGGCGGGGTTCCGGCGTGAGAACATCTGCACAGAGCTGATGGCGCTGACGCCGCCGCCGGACTGCCGCTACTACACCTTCCCCCAGATGATCACACCTGTGGTGACCCGCCATTGAGCCATCTGTCAGCTGCGTCCCAGGGCCTCCTGCACATGCCTCCTCACCCCCGTGGGAGCACCCCTCCCTCTGACCCAGGGCTGCTGAGCTGGAATAAACAGATGTGTGGTTTTATTTTGCAGGGATCGGGTACTCTGCAGCGCCCACCCCAACTGTGCAGACAGGACTAGTTAACCTCCGATGGCAGGCTCATCAGGGGTTGGTGGGGCAGGGATGAAAATGAGTGCCCCACTAATCCCGGGTCATTTGGAAGGGCCTGAGGGGCAGCACCAGGCCTAGGCTTATTGGTCTCTCTCACCCAATCAGGCAATCCCCCTCCTGCTGCCCACAGCACATGCTCATGCACCCCACCCAGTGGGATCCTCACTGAACACAGGGCACAGCTTGCCTCGTGTCCACCCCCCGCAAGCCCACTGTGCCTGTTGTGTCTTCCCACCCAGGGGTCAGCCTGGTGCCATCAGTTCCCCTACCAGCTCCCTAGCTGGCCACAGGACAGAGAATAACCCTCTGTACACAGGACAGAGTGGTGGCAGGCAGGGTTGGCACCTGCCAGCCCCCACAGGAGATGCAGCCTCTGCAGCCCCTGCCAGTCTAGGTGGGGATGAGAGCATGTGCTGGCGGGTGGATGGATGTAGCGGCCCCTTCCAGGCCTGGATGCAGTGACCATGCAGGATGGGGGCCTCCCTCGTGGCAGGGTTGAGTTAATAACCGTGTGGACAGGCAGGGTCAGGGTTATGAAGGCAGGGACACCTGCAAGAGGTGCCAGGACATGGAGGATGAGGGCGACTGGGTGGTGCAAAGTTAGGGTTACTGCTGGTGAGGACGCATCAGTGGAGGAAAACCAGTTTATTAACAGTGGACCGGCGAAGGGCTCTGGGCGGAGCGATGTGGCAGCGGCAGGGCTGGGTCGTGAGGCCGCCTGCGCAAAGGGGACCGGTGTGTGGGCAGCGGCAGCAGCACTACCTGCGATACCAGATCTTGAGCCTTTTCTCGCGCTTGATCTTCTTCTGCAGCTGCAGGATGCCATAGAGCAGCGCCTCGGCCGTGGGCGGGCAGCCTGTTGGGCCACGCCTGAGTCCCCACCTGCCCCAGCATGGGGGGGGGGGGCACCCTCCCCAGGTCCCGGCCCTCATCACACCGCCCAGATGGGTGGAGGGGCCTCAAACATTCCTAGAATGTCACTGATTTCTGACGCCCTCAACCTAAGGATATCCCACCATTACCGGAGCTATTCATTCACTGACTGCTGTCAGCCCGGACACACCCACACACTGACCACCATCACCTGGGACATACATCCTGTCCCTCCCTCCCTTCCTGACCGTGTCACTGGCTGCCCTGCCCCAGTGGCACAGTGACAACCCCCAGCTTCCTCCCCCGAGGGGAGCGGGTGCCTGCACTCGGACAGAGCTCACTGGAGTGGTTCCAGACAGCTGTGGGGGTGCAGGGACACCAGACCCTGTGCGCCCTCGGGAGAGGGGCCTGGGCACTTGCTCCGCTAGACCCTCCTGCGGCTGTGGTGGAATGGGCGGCTTGGGTCCTACCTGGGACGTAGATGTCGACAGGCACGATGCGGTCACAGCCCCGCACCACAGAGTACGAGTAGTGGTAGTAGCCCCCACCATTGGCGCAGCTGGGAACAGAAGCAGGACTGAGGACAGCTCCACACAGGCCCTGCCTGACCCGGCACCATCTCCCTGGGCAGCCAGGGGGTGGTGGTGAGAAGGGTGGGGGGAAGCTAGGCTTTCTGGATCCACAGGCTGATGAACTCCCCAAACGAGTCTCCTGATAAGTCAGAAACACCCCTGAGGTCTCCAGACACTTGGTCAAGTGTCATCATCGGGTGTGGGGTCAATGTGACAACGGCAACTTAGATCACAGGAAGCTCGGGATGGGGACGGTGGTCATGGGGGGGGGG